ATAATGCCATTCTCACTGTCGTTGACAAGCTCTCTAAAATGGCGCATTTCATTCCCACATCCACCACAGCTACTGCACAGCATACTGCTCAGCTTTTCTTCAAAGAGGTGGTACGTCTTCATGGCGTCCCCTCTGTTCTAATCTCTGATCGTGATTCTCGTTTCCTTAGCCGATTCTGGCAAACCCTCTTCAACAGGCTCGGGACCAAGATTCGCCTCTCAACTGCTTATCACCCCTAGTCAGATGGGCAGACTGAAAGGATGAATCGAACGCTTGAAGATGGTCTGCGAGCCTGCGTCAACGCGTGCCAGAACGATTGGGATCTCCACCTGCCTGACATCGAGTTCTCCTACAACAACACAGTGAACCTCGCCACTGGACGAACCCCCTTCTACCTTGCTACTGGACAGAACCCTCGCACTCCCTCTTCACTCGTATACAGCCCCACTCGAGATACTGCAGCAACTGCTTTCCTCAGCAGCAAGAATACAATCATTGCAACAGCACGTGCATCTCTTATTCGAGCACAGCAGCGTATGATCCACTATGCTGACCAGCATCGGCGTGACATCCATTTCAAAGAAGGTGACCAAGTTCTCCTCTCAACGGCCAATCTCCCTCTACTGCAAGAAGGCCTCACTCGTAAACTGGCTCCTCGCTTCATTGGACCCTTCACTATCACCCAAGTACTCTCTCCTCTCACCTACCGCCTTCAGCTCCCCTCTCACATCAACATCCATCCTGTCTTCCACGTTCAACTTCTACGCCCTTACCATCAACCCCCTTCTCACTTTCCCTCATCTTCTAGGCCTCCTCCTCCTCCTATGTTCACTCCAAGTCCTGACCTTTCTGAAGTTCAGATCATCCTTGCTCATGAAGACACCTGCAATGGCACCTACTACCTTGTGAAATGGCGTGGGCAAGATGAGTCCCACAACCTTTGGATTCATGAGAGTGGTTTGCAGTACGCACAGCGAGCCCTTACTAAGTATCTTGCTTCTAGGGCAGCACCGAGGACGGTGCTCACTGGGGAGGGGAGTAATGTTACAAGGCGAAAGCGAACTCACCCAAAAGTTCGCCAACTCAGCGAACTGTAGATTTCGAGGTTGGATTTGTCCAACCAAAATTGTGCGCCTCGAACTGAACAAGTCCGCAACCCCAAAATTGTACAGCTGCCTGTGAGTCACAGCACGACTCTAGAGCAGATTCCGAGAGCTAGCAAAGCGTGGAAAGCGCCAGCGCAACCTAGATACTAACTACTGCAGCTACTACAAGTAGCAGCAAAGACTACAATCGACATCTACAAGGTGACGAAGACGCCAGCACTACTTGGAAAATGAAAACTACTTGTATAGTTAATTCCTATTCTTGTTTAGCTATTTCCTAGGAGAGACAACAAGGCAAGGCTACTTGTAAATAATCATGAGCTTGCTTGCTTGTCTCCAGCTAGGATAGAAATGCCAAGGCGCCACGGGCGACCTTATCTAGGCGCCTTTAGGAGTATCAAGATGCCAAGAAAAGATTTCCTAGTATAAGTGTGCTCTCTTCTTTGTTGGAAGCTATCATATGATCTAGTGATTAAGCTAGCACTCTTTCTTCAAGGATCTCTCAATCTCTACTCCTACTAACAGCCCCAGAGCTGTTATAGTGGGCCCTTTGTCACCCAAATAGTCATCATCAGCGATCTTGGCATTGCACCGCCCGGTATTAACTTCTGTGTGAATAAGTACGTGCAGCTTGCATGTGTGTGTGTGTGTGTGTGTGTGTGTGTGTGTGGGCGCGCGCGCGCGCGCGTGCATGCGTGTGTGGGTGTGCACACATGTGTGCGTGCGCGTGGGTCTGGGCGTGGGTGTGTGCGTGTGCGTGTGGGTGGGTGGTGTGTGTGTGCGAGGGGAGGGGGGGGAGGAGGGGGGGAGGGAGGAGGGGGGGGAACGGGTGTGGGTGTGGTTGTGGGTGTGGACGTGAGCATGAGTGCGGGCATGTGTGTGTGCATGTGAGTGGGTGTGTTTGTGTGTGTGTGTGGTGGGGGGGTTTGAGGGTGGGGGTGGGCGTGCATGTATGCGTAGGTGCGGGTGTGCATGCATGTATGCATGGGTGCGAGTGTGCATGCGTGCATGCATGTGTGTGAGTGCGTGTGTGTGTGTGTGTGTGTGTGCGCGCGCGCGCCCACGCTTGTGTGCGTGCCCGCATGCGTGTGTGTGTATGTGTGGGTCTGTGAGGGTATTGCAGAACGTTCGGCGAAAACAATCTCACCAGCCACCTCCCTCCGACAGGGGGCAGCCTTACCCATCTTTCGTACCTGTACGTCAATCCAGTATTACCGCTTGATCATCCACAACTGAGGCACACCACACCAGTCCCATCCAAGGAAAATGCTGGAATGGAGAGATTCTCGTGCGTGCAGAGAAATCAGACCATTGTCGTGCGATGGGATGGGTGGAATTCCGATCCCCTTCTGCCGCTCACTTTAAGAATCGCTCCCGTGCACATGCAGGGACATATCTGGAAATGCAATCACATGCCCACCTGACTACAGCACCTGTGTGGTCCCACAGAGTGCTTCAAGCGCTTTCTGCCTGCACTGCCGCTCGTTCTGCTCCACTTGTGACAAGTCGCCACCAGCACCATGTGAGCACAATCGTTATCCTAGGGTACGGATGGTTTGCATCTTCCTGTTTTCTTGTGTGAAAACTGTCACGATTCATGTGTCCACATTTTTATACCCTTCACAGTCAATCCCCCCCCCCCACCCCACATGTGATCAACTGCCTGCCTTCGCTTTCTCTTACAGTTCTATTTTGTACGCACGTCTCTGCATTCTCTTAGTGGTACTTCCTCATGTGAGACAGTCGTTTTCCTAGTCGACAAACGGTTTGCCTCTTCCTGTTTCCTTGTGCGAAATTTGTCACCATTCACGTCCCTCCCCTTTCCTATTTCCCCCTCCCCCACCGTCCCGTCTCTCCTCTCCTTCTCGGCTGTCCCTTCCTCCATGCTAGGCCGATCCACAAGGGAAGAACCATTTCTACTTCTCCCGCTCCTCGTGCTCTTGGGTCTCTTCTGGACCAATCCGACCTTTGCTTATTTGCTTTCTCTTAGCGGTACTTAGTCATCAACGCTGTGCAACGAGTCTCCATCCCCTACCCCTCTCATGTCTTCTCCTACCATGTCCAACGCCCTTTTCCCCACCCCCAGCCCCTCCCTCCCAGCCTCAACTCGAAGTCTCTCCTTCCCAGCCTGGAGGCAGCCTGTCAGTGGGCGCCATAGCTGGCATTGCTGCTCCTGACGGTGTGGCTGTCCTTGTGCTGCTGCTGCTGGGTCTGATGGTGCTCAGGCGACGGCGCACCAAAGGGGCAGCAGCAAGAGGAAATGCCGGAATGGGTGTGGATGGCAAGGACTGGGCAGTGGAAAGTGCGCTCCAAGGCAAGATCCAGTAAAAAACACGCAGTCTAATGCTCCCAACTTAACGCACTCTCTGCTCTTAGTGTCCCTGCTTCTCTCTCTCTCTTCCTCGAACGTTCCATTAAGGGAGCTAGCAGGCAACAACCCTCCGGGGCGCTTTAAGTGAGCTGTTGTGCTGTTCTAAGACGTGGTGCAGGTCACTACTATTGACAGGCTTTCGTGGAACTGGAACCGTCATGGCCTGGTACCAATCATGAGCTCTTGGCTCGATGAAAGCAGCAATGTTTCCTCCTCGGCAGCGAGAGCCGCATTGACCTATAGTTCAGGGCGATGACTTGGCTCCCCTCACTAAGGGACTGACAGCCACTGGTGGCATTGGTGGATGGATGAACGTCGTTGCCTGAAGGCTGCTGTGCGAGCCGCTGGATTGAGATAAAATAAATGAACCTTAAACTGGAGACTGAGCTAGGAAAGCATGGAGAAAGTGCACCATGGAGAAAGTACTAGGTTCAAACTCTCTCACTCTTGCAATCCCTCACAATGTCTCTAAACCAGTCCTCTATATTGTTTGTATAGAGGGGTTCAAGGTAAAATGAGTCACATGCAGGTTGGCACCCTGAGTTGCCTGATGCTGCCTGGGGCACTGGTTTTAGGTAGGTTCAAAGTACTGCCTCCACCTCTCCAGTGGTAAGTGAGTCTTCAAGGGACATGCGGGTGGGTAAGTGTGTCCACAGTGCCTGCAAGGCAGAAGAGACGAGGGTGGCCAGCAGGCCAGCAGACGTTGTCGCCTACACCAGCGTGAGCACCTGGGGGTGCGCCGCCGCCGTCACCTGGAGCGTTGGGTGCATGGGGATGGTGAAAAGGAGCGGCCCCGAGAAGTCCCCAAGATGGCTCTCCTCTCTCTCTCTCTCTCTCTCTCTCTCTCTCTCTCTCTCTCTCTCTCTCTCTCTCTCTCTCTCTCTCGCTCTCTCGCTCTCTCTCTCTCTCTCTCTCTCTCTCTCTCTCTCTCTCTCTCTCTCTCTCTCCCTCTCTATCTCTCTATCTCTCTCTCTCTCTCTCTCTCTCTCTCTCTCTCTCTCTCTCTCTCTCTCTCTCTCCTTCTCTATCTCTCTCTCTCTCTCTCTCTCTCTCTCTCTCTCTCTCTCTCTCTCTCTCTCTCTGTCACACACACACACACACACACATATACACACACACATATACAAACACACACACACACATACACACACATACACACACACACATACACACACACACACACACCCACCCACACACACACACACACACACACTCTTATTCCGTTGCAAGAGCACACCATGAGAAGCCAGATCCAGAGGCAGGATGGACGGCAGCAGCAGCAGCTGCTGCTGCAGCTGCAGCAGTAGCACGAGAGGGACAGGATGGTGGTGCTGTGGTGGACATGGAGGCAGCACGACCAGATGTATTTCGGGAATATTCTCTAGCTGAATTGGCAGAAGCTACATCGGATTGAGCAGAGGAGAACCGGATTGGAAGCGGCAGCTTTGGGGATGTGTACAAAGGGGTGTCTCCCTATGGCTGCACTCAAGCCTGGGCAGTCAAACGAGCTCGAGTTCTCACCAACGATTTCCAGACAGAGGTATGTCATGATTTGTTTTCATTTCTTTCACACTGTGAAATACTTTTTTGGTCCAAATATTTCTTATCCATCCGTCTGGTCATCACCCATCTTTTCACTTCTTGTTCTTCCAGATGAAGGAGATGGCAAGCAAGCACCACCCTCATCTCATGCGCCTTCTGGGCTTCTGCATCGACTTTGACCCGTCCACACGAAAGATGGAGCAGATTCTAATCTATGAGCTCATGGAGAACAGGGATCTCGAGAGCTGGATTTGGGCCAGTGTCTCCAGTTCCCTTTCTCTGCGGAAGCGGCTGGATATAGTGATTGGAGTAGCCAAGGGGCTGCTGTACCTGCATGATTTTGGCATTGTGCATTGCGATATCAAGCCAGCCAACATTCTCCTTGATGCAAAAATGCAGGCACGTTGAAACTGGTGTTTGCCCCTTTTGCTTATGCAGGCATGGCAGCAGATTCCCCTCTCACCCTTATCCATCCTGCCATGTGGTGATCTGCTGAAACCAACCAGCCATGCATCGCACACACACTCCTCCTCATTGTTCCTCATTGTGCTTTTGTGATTGTGCACGATGGGCAAGCCAAGATTGCAGACTTTGGACTTGTCAAGCTGAGTGGAGACACCGCTATGGGCACCTCGTCTGTGGCTGCCACTCGAGTGATGGGCACACCGGGCTATGTGGACCCTGCATACTACAAGTCTCACAAGGCCACACCAGCAGTAGATGTGCACAGGTGAGCAGATGGACACAAAACTTCTACTCCAATTTTCATGCATAGATGAGCAGTGTGCACGAGTTGTCTTGTCGTTCTATTTGTTTGAAGTTCCTGGCACTTCGTGCATCACATGACTTGCTCATTCCAATCAAGGGTTTCCTTTCTTGGTTGCTCGGATGTGCAGCTTTGGAGTGGTGATGCTGGTGGTCATTACGGCACACAAGGCGGTTCATGTGACAGGGGACACCCAGATCAACCTCAAGCAATGGGTGGGACTCAAATAGCAACAGGTGGGGCAACAAGTGGGAGCAATAGCAATAAAGGAGGGTGAGGCATGTTCCTCTAGAACGATTTAGTTTCTGATATTTTGCTTTTAGTTCTTCAAACTCGTTCGGCGAGCTCTGATCTCTCTGCAGTCACGCCCTCGGTGACGAGAGTATTGAAGACGCGTAGAAATCGGCCTACAAAAGCCAAGTGCACGAAGAGTTGTTTAGTCAGGTTCGCTTTCTTATCTTAGGTGAACAGGGTTGCATCTCGTATTGACAATGAATTCGACACCTCAGGCCGCGAGGACTTCTATGCTGAGATAGCTCGTGCGAAGAACATAGCCTCGTTGAGTTCGTCTACAAGTGTGTAAAACATGGCTTTTTCGTTATACTATGTTGTCTTGAACTGCAGAATTCAGACATAAAATATCTGTGCCAAATGCTACTTACTATATACAACTTGTATATTTTCTGATATACTAGTCTTTGGGGTCGCTGTAGACAATAATGTTTTGATTATGTTCGTTGTGGCTTGAGGAACTACAAGGGTTGGTGCTCGTCAACAGAGTCTGCAATTTCCCGGTTTCGCCAGACTCGCACTGCTGGCATGCAACTTCAACAAATCGTGGTAAATCCTCGTCACCTTGGTTTTCACAATGTCAGGGTAAATCGACAAGCAAATCGTAAGTATTCAAGATGCACATTCCAGAGGTCGATTTCGAAGTCATAACTGATTCGCCCACACCAAGGCATCATCCTAGCAAGATTGGACCTCCGCCCTGAACCCCCTTATCCCGCTTATTTACACAACAGCGTATATTCTCAAGTGTCTTTTGCTTTAGACTCCTCAGCATCTCTCTTTGTTGTCTCTCACTGCTTCGCCTGCCTGCAGCCAATGAAAGTAACAAAGGTTAGGCACAAGGATGAACCTGTTCAGGAGGAGGACGCTGTTGTTTGTGAACGAGCGGCATAGGACTGCCCTTTAGATCCTACCAACCTCCACTGTCGCATACATGCTGGTGGCATGTCCGGGGCTCAGCTGCTTGCACGTGGTGAGGGGGCATAGCTCCGCATCCTCATAATACTTGAAGAACACATACACTTGCTCGTGACCTTGCAGTGAGGTGCAAGGGAATATGCAGAGGCATCTCCCATACCACTCCGCGCCCCTTGCACCATTCACTGCCACATCCCTGGACCACTGTTCTCTGCGGCTTGCCTTCACAAAGGTCCTCTTTGGGACCATAAAGCCGCCCTTGATCTTGGGGATAGCTACGGCTGTGTGGTCGAACAAAAAAATTTCAAGCACTTTTTGCCAGCAGTGGCACTCCTTCTGCAGCACCTGTGTCATGTCTTTCCTAGTGAGACACAACCTTCCTCCTGGTCTATGGTCGGTTTGCCCATTTTATGGTTTCATGTGTGAAATCTGTCACCATTCATGTTCACATTCGTATAAATTGGGCAAAATTCACGAGACTCACTAAACGCAGCAAAGGAAGTGGGTTGGACGCGAGGGCCAATGAAGGCCTCTCGAACAAAGCCCCACCTCGCCCGGCATGAGCAGTGTCGCCAGCCCTCCCAGGCGACGAATTGGCACTACGCGACGTCGCCCAGCCCACACCAGCACACCCAGCGCCAAAATATGTGGTAAGAACACAAGGGAGCGCGCTATGCTAAAAGAAACAGTGAAAAGCCTGGCCGTGCGCAAGATATGAAATATAACAAAAGACAAGCATATAATCAACCTACAACCAAAATTAAATGCATGGACTTGCATATTTGGTCCAACAGTAGGGACACAAGGAAATGGTGCTACGAATATTACACGGCGAGTCAAATCCCTTTTTGTTAGCACATGGGCTTATAAATTTCATTTCATTGCATGCACCTGTGAATTCCCCTAAAATCCATACACGCAAATACGCGGTAAAATTCGGGTGAAAATGGCACCCCCTGCAAGAGTTTATCCGTGCAGTGAAAGGAAGGGGGAAGGGGGAAATGGGAGGAGTATGGGAGCAAGGGATGACGGGGAGATGGACAGAGAGAAGGGCAGAGAGAGAGAGAGAGAGAGAGAGAGGGAGAGAGAGACGAGCTCAAGAGATTTTGAGATAGGCTCGGGCTGAGCATGACTGCAGGGGGGAGGGGAACAAGGTACTCAGGTTCTGAATGGAAGGGAGTTGGGGTAAGGAAGAACAGGTGGAAGGAGGGAACGGCGCAAGGAGGGGAAGGTGGAAGGAGGGGAAGGGAAGCGCACCCAAAGGTCATGTCCCCAGGGCAGCCGTGCCCGCCCTGAAACCAGCAAAACGGGGGTGAGAAGGGAATGAGGGAGAGGAATGGGAGGAAATGGAAGACACGAGGGGAGGAAGAATGACGAAGGGGTGAGAACTGGAGCAGGGATGAGGAACGAAAGCAGTGGGAGAATGGAAGGGGGAGCAATGAAAGAAGGGGGAGAGAATGGGAGGGGGAGCAATGAAAGCAGGGGGAGAGAATGGGAGCGGGAGCAATGAAAGCAGGGGGAGAGAATGGGAGGGGGAGCAATGAAAGCAGGGGGAGAGAATGGGAGGGGGAGCAATGAAAGCAGGGAGAGAATGGGAGGGGGAGCAATGAAAGTAGGGGGAGAGAATGGGAGGGGGAGCAATGAAAGCAGGGGGAGAGAATGGGAGGGGGAGCAATGAAAGTAGGGGGAGAGAATGGGAGGGGGAGCAATGAAAGCAGGGGGAGAGAATGGGAGGGGGAGCAATGAAAGTAGGGGGAGAGAATGGGAGGGGGAGCAATGAAAGCAGGGGGAGAGAATGGGAGCGGGAGCAATGAAAGCAGGGGGAGACAATGGGAGGGGGAGCAATGAAAGCAGGGGGAGAATGGGAGGGGGAGCAATGAAAGTAGGGGGAGAGAATGGGAAGGGGAGCAATGAAAGCAGGGGGGGAGAATGGGAGCGGGAGCAATGAAAGCAGGGGGAGACAATGGGAGGGGGAGCAATGAAAGCAGGGGGAGAATGGGAGGGGGAGCAATGAAAGCAGGGGGAGAGAATGGGAGGGGGAGCAATGAAAGCAGGGGGATACAATGGGAGGGGGAGCAATGAAAGCAGGGGGAGACAATGGGAGCAGGAGGGAGGAAGCGGAGAGGAAGAGAGGGGGAGGCGGAGAGGAAGAGAGGGGGAGGCGGAGAGGAAGAGAGGGGGAGGCGGAGAGGAAGAGAGGGGGAGGCGGAGAGAAAGAGAGGGGGATGCGGAGAGGAAGAGAGGGGGAGGCGGAGAGGAAGAGAGGGGGAAGCGGAGAGGAAGAGAGGGGAAGACGCTGGGATTGAGGGCAATGAGAGGGGCACGGAAGGGCACAAAATTCGCCCTTACTCTCTCTGCCTTTTCTCTCGGAAGGCTGCCAGCTCCTGCGGGGAAGGAGGGTGGTTGGTTGACGGAGGGCGCCGATAACGAGGGAAAGGCATGGGTGCTGGGGGCGAGCATGAGTGCAGGGGCAAAGGTCGTCTCTCTTTCCCCCTACGGTCCTCTCTCCCTCCCCCAACGGTCCTCTCTCCTTCCCCTTCCCGCCCTCTCTCTCCTTCCCCTATTCGTCCTCTATCCTTCCCCTTCCCACCCTCTCTCCTTCCCCTTTCTGTCCTCTCTCTCCTTCCCCTTCCCGTCCTCTCTCCTTCCCCTTTGCCACCTCTCTTTCCTTCCCCTATCCGTCCTCTATCCTTCCCCTTCCCGCGGCTGCAACTGCGGCTGCGGCGGCTGCGCTGGAGGCTGCGCGCGCGGGCGAGCGGGCGGGCGGGCAGCGGGCGAGCAGCGGGCGGCGAGCAGCGGGCGGCGGGCAGCAGTCGGTGAGCAGCATGCGGCGCGCAGCGGGCGGCTAGCAGCGGGCGGCACGCAGCGGGTGGCGAGCAGCGGGCGGAGCGCAGCGGGCGGCGAGCAGCGGACAGTGGGCAGCGCGAGCAGCGGGCGGCAGCGGGCAGCACGAGCAGGGGACAGCGGCAAGCGGCAGCGGGCAGTGCGAGCGCGAGCAGCGCGAGCAGCGGGCAGCATGGACAGCGGCCCGCGCAAGCAGCAGGAGGGCTGGTCGCGACGAGAAGGGTGGGAGGAAGGTACGGCGTAAAATCGCATGCTACGGGCGATTTTTATCACCAGACGACGCGGCTCCAAGGTGAGAGTGAGGCGGGAGGGTGCATGCACTTCTTAGGCGCTGCGAAACTGCTTGATTGCCCAGTTTTTGAACCTGGGAGGGGAAGGTGGGCGATGGATTAGAGGGATTGTCGCAGGGAGGGGGTGTGTGTGGAGTGGGGCCAATCAGGGGCCAATCGCCCGGCAAAACGGGTAACCCTGTGAACGGAGGTTGGATCTCAAAAACTTGGGACTTGACTTTCGGGGGTTTTGGGATCCGCGCTTTAACTAAGATGATACATCGGAGGGGGGAGAGTGTAAGGAAACGACCTTTCCCTATTACATGTTTTGTCGCGTTTGTCTGAACCGCGTTACCCAAATGTGGGATATCATGAGCCGCATACACATTCGTGCACTTTTCTCATTTCGTCGTCGTCGAGTGTGCTCTTAGCCCATTTCCCCGACACAAAATTCGAGCTCTACCAGGCTTGTTTATTTGCTTCATGCCTAAGCTATATCCTAGTGTTGGGCTTGTTTTCATGTTTGATATTGTGTAATCATCTTGTGCAAAGATAATTTTAGTTTTTAGCTGTTTCAAGCTCATACGGAGAACCAACATGCTGCAAAGTAATTACAAATGTTGGAAATACCTCAAGGACTTAAGCGTTTCTAAAGCGTAACACTACACTCGAGGAAAGTCGTAACGGGTACGCGAGTTAAAGGAGGTTACACGAGGGGATGGACAAAGAACACGAAAGGACTCGAAGGGTCGCAACCGGAGGTTGCGACTGACCGTTGCAACTGCAAAGATGGTAACACAACCGACAATCGAGTCGCTGTGTGACTCGATAAACCGCTCTTTCAACCGTATTCTACAGCTGCTTTACTTTCCTACTTTCTATATATTGCTGTATGCTTGTTCTCTTAATCAATCACTTGCTCTCACATACTAGTGCAAGGGTTCAACTACTCAACTTCCGCTGCATTACTCAAGTATCTTGTACAACTGGGACTTAGTCTCTGAAAGATCCTAAGGGCTTTTTCTCAGCCCAACATGGTATGAGAGCTGGTCAAAGACCAAACTCCCGGCAACTACGCTCTATCTACAATCAGCACACCAACGACTTGATTACAAGTCATGGACAGCAAGGGCAAGAAAACCTCTACGGGCTCACCTAGTGCCCAAGACACTCAACCCGGTAACTCTGGACTGCACATTTCAGGACTGCAAACCGAGACCGGCGCTGCTCAAGAAACAACAGGAAGAGCACCAGAAATGGTGACCCCATCACCCTCTTCAAGCGTAGACCCGAACCTTATGGAAAGGTTCTTCAGCTTCATGTCACACTTCGACCAGCAGCAGTAGACAAAGACACCTGCGCATTCAACACAGAGCAACGGCGGAAACATGGGATTAGCGTCGATGAGCCTCGACAACTCATCGTTCGGGCGACACAATCAAGCGCCTACCTTTGCGCCTTATCACTCTTCACCGGGGACGTTCGAGTTCATGCCGCCCCGTGCCCAACCAACAGCAGCTGCATTACGACAGACACAAAACGAGATATTGAGTCTCCAAGCGCAAATTTCACACGTGATCAAACTGCAGACATCCTCACCGTTCAACGGACATGACTTCTTTACCTAGAGTTTTGAGTTCGAGCTGCTGATGGAGACCGCGCACCTCTTGGGATACTTCAACGGGTTTCTGCCATTTCCAAGCAATGGCACTGCAAAAGAGCAAGAATTTTTCACGTATCAGTCGCTGCTGGCGTACACAGTTCTCCCGCGGAACCTGTCACCACAAGAACAGCAAAGCATCAGAACGTATCGGAGCTATGGAAACTCCGCGGAACTCGCATGGCATCACCTCAAGTGTCTTTACCAAGCAAATGACAGCGTGACACAAAGAAGACTCATGCAGCAGTTGACAACAACACAAATGAAAACCGGGGAGAAGGCGATGCATTATATGAGTCGCTGCCAGACACTTCGCGACCGCCTGCTTCGGTGCGGAGGTACAATCACTGAAGAAAGCTTCGTGACACTTGTCCTCGCTGGGCTCGGGCCAGAATGGAGAACCACCCGCTCGCTTCTTCGCGACCACGGACGAATCTCGGAGATGCACCTCTGCGCCGAGCTTCATGCTGAACAATAGGAGATGGACCTGTTTGAAGAAAGACAACCAAGGAAACAGCAACCGTTAGTTTTCTACACTCAACGAAGAAACGACAACACCTACAACCGACGCGGCAAGCAAGATCAATGCGACAACAGAGGACTCGCCATTGTGCCGCCGTTCTGCCACAACTGTCAAACATCCAGACACTCCAAAGTCAACTGCACACGCCCCCGAGCTTATCGTCCAGTAGACCCACAAGTCGCTTCCACTCAAGAAAGCCCGCCGAGGCGTTCCTCCACATCTGCACAAGGCACACCGAACATCATCAATTGCATGGTACACATCGACAACTGCGCACCCGGATCACCACCCACTTACGCTCCAGATGAAGAAGAACTGTCGCCGCCGCACTCACAAGGACTTCAGGTCAACCCAACGTACGCTGCAGTCGCCAACGCCGAACCCACCGGGCGAAACACCTGGTTCTTGGACAGTTGCTGCGGCCAACATATGTGTTCTTCCGGGCGCTTCGTGCAACGAGAGCGATGTCTCAACCGTAATGTCATCATCACCGTCGCCAACAACGAGAATCTGAAAACAAACAGACAAGGCGTCGTTCAGCTTCGGTCAATGGAGACAAACGTCAAACTGCAACTCAAGAAAGTTCTAATCGTCGACAACTTGGGATACAACTTACTCAGCGTCAACCAGTTAATGGCAAAAGGGATTCACCTGGAATGCGACTCGGACTCCAACGAATTTCGCCTTTACCACGGGAAGGGCGGCCTTTTCATCGGTCGCGCTCTCCTGAAGTCGGGCGTCTTCGTGTTGGATTTCGTCCCTGACCGCGGTACTGCCGACAGCGATGGCATCGTGTCGTTCGCCGCATGGACGCACCCGCCAGATCTTGACCCTGACTTTACCCCAGATGGTTTCTGGTACTTCAACACAATACCTGCAGCAGAAAGGACCCGAGCGTTAGCAGTCATACGATAAGAAAGACACGTACCAGCAAGTGTCCCACCCGCAACATCACCTGCAGTAGCAGCAGCAGGACCTAGTCGTGTGCCATCACCAGCAATCCGAGGGCCACCAATCGAAGCAGACCAACTCATGCCAAACGCTCGAGGAGTTTGCCGCAGTCCCGCAACAGTCGTCGCGTTCTTCTCCAACACCAGCTTGTATCAGCGCTCCCCCGGCCATCGCGCTCCCGACGACATCTGGCACCAACGCCTCGGTCACTCTGCAAACAGTACAGTTCTACAAACAACGAGCGGACAAGAGCTTTGTCGACCTCGCGCCAGATGCTTCACGTGTCCTGAAGCCGATCTTCCACATCAACCCTTTCCGTCGCATCACAATCCAAGTGCACCTGCATACGCACTGACGGAAAAGGTTTACAGCGACATCTTAAATATGCCGCGAGACGAAAGTGAAGCAGACTTTAACTATGTCATCACGTTCATCGACGCAGCAACAAGATACGTCTGGCACTACAACCTTAAGACACTTGATCAAGCATTCGAAGCCTTCACGACGTGGCTCCCCATCGCTGAACGAGAATCTGGAACTCAACTCAAGAGCTTCCAGTCAGACGGCGCACTAGAATACCAGTCACAACGATTCAGGAACTACTTGGCGGAAAGAGGAATCAGACGCCTGGTGTCTCTGCCCTACGCTCACCAGCAGCAGGGGGTCGTAGAAAGTATGAACCGGACCTTGCAGACGACGATGCGGAAGCTGCTCCTGGGGATGAGACTGCCCAACACGCTTTGGCCTGACGCGATGACCCATGCAGTTCACCTGCACAATTTGTTGTCCTCGTCATGACTTCCCAACAACGCATCATCGCACCTGCTGTGGACGGGAAAACATGGCAGCACAAAATTACTTCGAGTCTTCGGCTGCATGGTACAGTACAGACCTCACACAGCACGTGCAGGACGATTCTCTCAACGAGCACGATGGGGACTACACCTTGGCATCGCCAAACATTTCCAAGCATGGAAACTTCTCAACATACAAGACAAAAACACCGTGGCCTTACGTGATGTGATTTTCTACGAACGACTGACGCTGCAGCATTGCCTGGACAACATTGCAAACACAGAAGACCCCGCGAATGGCTTCGAGGGCCTTCGGTCCTTCGCCGACCGTGCTGCCGAGGCTGACGCAGCAGAAGAAGACGTACCTGGAGCTTCGGAAGCTGCCGGACCACTCCCTTACTGTTCCGTGCCTGTTCCACTCGACGACGACAATCCTCTCGATAGTAATAACCTCGACACCCATTACCACTTCGCTGACCAAGGTTACGTTACACCTCAACCTGTCGACATGAATGTCTCAGAACGCATCGGCCCAAACTTCTTACCTGATCCAGAAGATGGTGACGAAGCAGCCTATTCCGGGAATGAAAATTCCCCACGGGCCTGCAGATACTCGGATTATGGGTCTCCGTCCAGCACCCGCCGCCGCCGTCTCCGCGCGAGCCAACGACTTTGTTGCAGGCTTTGGGGGGGGAACACAAGGCGAAATGGAAGGAAGCAATGGAAAAAGAACTAAAGGCCCTCCAAGACCGAAACACGTGGAAGGTGGTACCTGCAACAAAAACCTGCGGAAAAAACATGCTCTCGGGAAAATGGGTGTACCGCATCAAAACTAATGCGGACGGCTCCATCGAACGATTCAAGGCTCGCTGGGTCGTACGGGGATTCGATCAGCGATACGGAACCGACTACACAGAGACATTCGCCCGAGTCTCCCGTCACACTTCTTTGCGCATCCTACTCGCCGTCGCGGCCACGAAGAAGCTACCACTACACCAAATCGACGTTGCAAACGCCTTCCTGTACGCACCGGTGGATGCTGAGATCTTCGTCGAGCAGCCCCACGGATTCATCGACGACCCCACAAAAGTGTGCCAGCTGATAAAATCCCTCTACGGGATCAAACAAGCCCCGCGGCTTTGGCAGCAGCACCTTCACGGCCGCC